TATTATGTGGTTCATTGATACATAATTTAATATAAATTTGTTACAATTTTAGAACCACCCAACATCTTGTAATCCTCTAATATTTATGGATGTGACATTTTTATTGTGAGGATCAACTACAACCACACGATTAACTAAACATATATTTGTTACTCTGAATGATCGCAGTTGGTAAATGCTGACAGTCACCGGTTAATGTCGTCGTACAATAAATTCATTGGTGAAAGTTGACGTATTGATTAAATTTGTGATCTTAGTAAACATTCACTAGTGAATGTCGACATTTATACAACGATATTGGTGAATGTTGGTAATGCTGATATTATTTTAATCTAATTTAGGAATAACAGAAGGGTCACAATTATAAAACAGTATCTTATACTATCTAGTACCTATACTGTAATAAGGTATTGTATAAGTTGATAATTTCGATAAAGTGTTTTGTTACATACCATCTAGTACCCATGCTGTATAAGGTATTGTATAAGTTGATAATTTCGATAAAGTGTTTTATTGCCTTACCCAACTACTCTTATTAAATCTGGATAACCTCCATGCTACGCTGTCTTGCTATAATTTAGTGTGGTATTGTCATTCAACGTACCTAGTTATGTATTTTTATTTTAACTAACGATTTTTTTTTAATGGAAAACATGCGCGAATTATTTTATAATAAATTTAATGATTGAATATCTAAAAAAAAAAATGATAATTCTTTTTTTCTATCAGCTGAAAAATATAAATTTTTAATTAGTGAAGTGAACATTTCAAAAGATAAATCTAATAAACAATGTAATGACTATCGACGATTAAAGCGGTATGATGTTTTGAATATACTCGGAAGTAGTAAACTTATAGTTCCTTTAAAACCAGGAGAAACAAATATAAAATATAATGTGAAAAATGAAAAATTATTTGATATTATTCAACAAACAAACATTCAAACTGGTCACGGTGGACGTACTCGGATGATTAAAGAATTGCAATGTAAGTACAAAAATATTACATATGAAATTGTTATGCTGTATTTGAGTTTGTGCATTCAATGTCAAACAAAAAGCGCCTAGAAAAGGTATTGTTGTGAAGCCTATAATAAGTTCTGAGTTGAATTCCCGATGCCAAATAGATCTTGTTGATATGCAAACATGTAAAGATGGAGAATACAAATTTATTTTAAATTATCAAGATCATTTGACAACATTTATACAGCTACGGTCGTTAAAATCTAAAACTGCGGAAGAGGTTGCCCATAATTTGTTACATATATTTTTAACTTTCGGGGCACCAAATATTTTGCATTCCGATAACGGTAGGGAATTTGTGAATAAAATAATCACAGAATTGTGTTTAATGTGGGATGGTGTAAAAATAGTACATGGCAAACCACGCTATAGCCAAACACAATAAGGTTCAATAGAGAGAGCGAATCAAGATATTCAAAACCTATTAAGAGCATGGATGTACGAAAATAATACGAATAAATGGGCGGATGGTCCATATTTTGTTCAATTTACAAAAAATACAGCATACCACGAAGGTATAAAGCAAAGTCCGAATGAAGCTATGTTTGGCACAAAAGCCAAAATGAGTCTATTTTCGTCTTCTCTTCCTCGAGACAAAGTACATGAACTTGAATGAGAAGAGCATTTGGAAAACATAATCAAAAATATGAGTACGTACCTTTAATAATTATATTCAGTTGATGAAATAAATAATAATAAATACATGAAAATGATTAACAGATTCTGAAAACATTGATCGAGAAAGTCTGCAAGCAATGGAGTAATTGCGGGGGGGCAAGGGGGGGCAATTGCCCCCCCCAGAAATGTTTGTGGGTGGGCAAAAGTATCATTTTGCCCCCCCACAAATAATCCACATTTAAAAAGTATTTTTAACAAGACTGTTAACATATTATTATAATATTAAAATATTTTTTTCCTCAAATTACTTTATAAAAGTTTAAATTTATTTTATGTTTCTCTTGTTGAATAATATTACAATGTTGACGTATTGTCAGTGTTATGGCAATAATCGCATTACTCGTGACTATTATTATCCGTGATTGGGGAACACGTTATTATCTTGAAATCGAGATTATGACTACAGGAACGTACGGCTGAACGGCAGGTTAATTTTAGATCAATAACAAGTAACTGATAATGGTATATTAGTATAATAAAGATAATTATTATATTATTTTGTCTTGCTAATTCCTTATATCACTGTTCAGTTGGACTTGTACTTGTCTTATTACGACATTATATTCTGTTACGTTACGATAGTGTGCTTTCCTAAAAAAATTATTAATTACGTTTTTTAAAAATATGTCAAATAAACGACAGTTGACGTTGGTCGATTTCATGTCATCGAGATCAAAAAAAACTACAAATGTCCAGACCAGTGAGTATTACTAAAATATTTAATACATTTTTGAAACAAAAGTTTTTTTCCTACCATTCTTACTAAATAATTTTAATTTTAATGGTTCATATTATGAACAGATAAAATAATAAGTATCTAGTAAAATTATTTCATTTAAATTTATCCACTCAAAAATTAATGAATTAAAAAATGGTAATTTTTATACATATTATACTAAATTCTAGTATAAAGATTCTTATTATGTATTTATTATTTAACTATAATTTAAAGTAGTTAATATATGATTATTAAATTTATTGTATTTTAGGAAGTGTAGAAATACCTGAAAATAGTGCCACAAATGTGGATAACACTATAAATGAAGATATTTTGAATATTCCAAAATCTGAAAAGTCCACAAATGTCCAGA